TACTACACTGAATAAACTTCTGCAAACGTATTCTATCATTTTGAGAGCCGTTTCTTCATCGCATAAAATCAATGTCCTGAAATTAAAGTCCTTAACAAAGGAGTTTGCCCTATTTCTCATAACAAATGCAAAATGGGTTGATTATTCGATGACAGTTCATAGCTGTGTATTTCACGCGGCTGTACTCATCGAAAGAAATAACGATGTTCGCTTAGGCCAACTCTCGGAAGAAGCGTTAGAATCATCTAACAAGGACGTAAGAAACTACAGAGAGTTTAATGCTCGTAAAACAAGTCACTTCGACAATTTAACAGATGTCTATAATAACTTGTTCCTCCGTTCGGATCCAATAATTCATTATATCCTCGGTCAAACATATACAGGTAGAAAATCCATAGAGAAATTAACTTGCCTGAATGAGGATGATGCGCTGTTGAATGAAATTCTTCTTTTTGATTAATTAGATTAATTTTCAATGAAATCTTTTTTGCATGTGTTCGTAGTTTTTTTTTGTATGGGCTCGAAAGAACTCCTTCGATTGGGATGGCCTCTACGTGGTCAAGGAGAGACAACATTGATTGAAAAAAATCAATGACCAACAATCCCTTAAAATTCTGATTATCTGAGAAATTCTTGAATTTTTTTAGTATAACACCGAGTTTTCCGAAAAAATTTCTGACACCTGTTCTGGAAGTTTATAATCAGGTGAGGTATACATATGAAAATTCAATTAAAATTCCTGTAAATCAAGTCTGTGGAAAACCAAGATTTTAGAAAATCCGAAAAAATCAAATCCCGCGCTTCCAACTGAAACTTTTTATTGATATTTTAATTGAATTTTCATATGTATACTCTTACTCTTTCAACTGCTCAAATCTTTTTTCACATTTGTTCTAGCTATTATGATTGAGGAGAAAAATTAAAAATAAAGGCGAACGTATAATTTTGGCCAGCACTATATTTAGAAAACCCGCGTTACACTTGGATACCTTCCCTCGTAAGTTACAGAATTTTTAGTGTTAGTAGGTTCCTTAGCACAGACCAACAAAAAAAGTTCTTTACTTTGAAAGAAGTGCGATGAGCCCAAATCCCTTTAGGGCTTTTACTAGTTCACTATTTTCTATCGACTGGCACATGAATCATCGATTCTTACATATCGTTGTTTAATGAAATTAGAAATATTTCAATTAGCAATCAACATCTATTAAATTGAAAATACATTATATTGGACATCGTGTGTAGAGCAATTAATACAATCGAAATTATATTCTTAATCGAATTTTAAAAGGGATTGTAATTTTCATCTCAATCAATTAATACTTAATTAATAAACTAAAGGAGCTACAGTCCTTTGACGTTCAGGGTGGAAAATTTTAATTTTTTCAGTCTTGTAGAATAACTTTTAAAACTTCGTTCTAGGCTTAAAAGACGTAGAAGTGTGTGTAGTATTTAATGATGTGCTTCGGTTAGAATATATCGTTATGCTTTGTTTAAAACTTCCGAAACAGTAAACTCCGTCAAAAAATATGACTAACACGTAAAAAGCAGCCTGTTTTCAATATCTCGATAAATACTACATCGGTCAACTTCAAACTTTAATCATTTTTAGGTCTCACGAGATGTAATATTTAGTAAAAAAAATGGATCTGAAATATTGCATCTAAAAATTTAAAAAATACGCGAAAATATCCGATGAGACTTCTACTTTTCTTCTATTTTCAATGAAAGTAGAATCGAAATTGGAATGCCTTGGAAATGCATTGGAAATGCCGAAAATGGAGATTTTTAGCTGAAGGCTCTTGAGAGTCGTTACGAACTAATACTTGTGGGCTTCGTGGTTGAATACAGTACATTGGGCCGAATTGAATGTTGTATCATAAGTTGAATTTCGATTCTACTTTCATTGAAAATAGAAGAAAAGTAGAAGTCTCATCGGATATTTTCGCGTATTTTTTAAATTTTTAGATGCAATATTTCAGATCCATTTTTTTTACCAAATATTACATCTCGTGAGACCTAAAAATGATTAAAGTTTGAAGTTGACCGATGTAGTATTTATCGAGATATTGAAAACAGGCTGCTTTTTACGTGTTAGTCATATCACATCAGCCACAATCACCTTGAGAATTCAGCTGTTTGTAGCATCCAAAACACATTTTGTCTCTGTTTTGATTAAAATATGTTGGGAAAAAGGTTTCCTACTTAACATTTAGTGTACAAAAAACTCAACCCGAAACTCTGAACATCTTTATGTAAGTAACTTATTTTTTGAAAATTCTTTGCTAAACGGTACGATGATTATGCTATTCATTCGTATGAAGAATAAATAACTTTTGAAAAAGCATTCGATACTAGCTTGAGCGGGAACTCTTTATGAATTCATACCACGTTCAAGCGAGCTACAATTTTTCAGGATGTTCTGCCGGCTGTGAAAGAAGCGATCACCACTGATTAAGATATTTTCACTCTTAAAATAACGAATTGGTGGGATACCAGGAATAATGACTATTAAATATTGGCTTTAGGTTGTTTACTGTTTAAGTGCAGAGTACGAATCAATAACCCTCATTTTCTTCATTACAGTTTTTCTTGCACTCTCCATGATTGGATATCATTTTATCAAACTGTCGATCGTTGATTCACTATTGAATATGTACGATTGAGAAGAGTTGCTAATTTTTGGCTTCAGGACATACAATGCTAGCGTATATGACTTGTCTACAGGAATTGCGACAACTAATTGATATCGGAACAGGTATTTAGTTGAGATAACAGCAGCTTTAAACGTTTGTTTGTTTGACATTTAGATGTTTATTTGTCAGTTATACGTTTATAAAATTCTTTGTCTTGAAAATGACAGCAAAAGTGTCAAAACGTTGATAAATAAACATCTAAATGTCAAACAAACAAAAGCTTAAAGCTGTTATTATCTTAACTAAAATTTTTACTCAAATTGTTACCCATAAACATTACAAATTACGGAGCAGATATTATCTAACATTTCCAATTAAGCAAATAACATTCCTTTGCATATGCGTATAGTATTTCAATTAAAAAGTAATATTTTGTTACACATGCGACGCTACTTCTTTGAGAAATCTAGTGCACATGTTCACGGATATGTACACTGGTGAGCCGTTTTGAGGTATTCAAAAAGTGTATACAATTAATCAATGAAAAAGCCTAGAAATCTATTTAATATGTAAAAATATGTTTCACATATCTATCAGGTTTAGACTTGTCGAAAACTTGTATGAATATTTTGATTCTTCGAAAATACGTAATGAGTAATACTATAAAAAATTACGTTTTTACAAATGTAGCTTGCAAGACATATAAGACGTTATTACAGAAATCAAAAGTAGATCGATACAAAGAGACTGAACTCTATTTATTCATGTAGTTTTTAAAATCGATTTCTCGAGAACAAGAAAATGAATCATTCAATGATAAATGCATTATGATTTCAATAATGAACGATTTCTATTTCTCATACGCTACAATTTATAGTATAACACAAGATTACCTCAGTTTTGCAGGTGATACTTGCTATTGTTTCTCATGAACTGTTAGTTTATTACATGATTGTGTCTGATGCGATCCTGCCGTTGTATTGTGTGGAAGTTAAGTGGTAGAATTTGTCATCCAAAGTTGAGCAAAACTTTTCTTTTCGCCTGGAGGTGTTTCACTTACTACACGCCTAACGGGGAAACTAAGACACTTTTGCTCAACTTCGAGCGACACATCACTCATCGCAGTTTTTGACGATGAGCACGAATATGATGTTAGTTTTTAATAAAAAATGTTTTTTGTGGGGAGAAATTCAGTTTTAATATTCAGAAATCCGTTTTTCTCTCTTAACTTAACTTAAGTCTAAATTTCTATTTTCATACCCATATACAGTAACTACTTGACAACATGATAACGCAAAGATATCCAGAAAATGTTTTCCCTGCCATGGAGAAAAATATATTTTAGAAATGACCCTCAGATTCAAAACATTAAAAAATGAATCAAATTTGTTCACTTAACTTCCATACTATATTTATCTTACTCAGTTTTCGACGCTCTTTGGAATGGCTTAATCAGAATTATTTTTTTACCCACTCATTCCCGAGATTCAGCAGCTACACCGAAGAGTATGGCACTTTTGACCTAAAGTCGCGTTTTCATCCTAAAGAACTTTCCAAAATTATTTTTTACCAAAATGTAGCGCGTTCTCTTATATCGGCTGATACAGTTTGCATACTTTATCGGTGCTTATGCAGCATAAACAAAAATATTTTTATTATTACCTGTATGGAAAATTTTTACCGACCGGAAAATCACTTTTCAGTCTAATGGGGCTGCAAAGAGCAACAATGAATATTTGTAACTTTCTTATCTACAAATATACTAGAGAAAACGGTGAGCGGAGAATATTTTGATGGAAACCGCTTGTCAAAAGCTTTTTTCGTTAACGAGTTATCATCGGTAGAAAAAGAGGAGTAGGGTGTATTGAAAATTTTTGTCACCATTATTTATATATACAGTGCAGTACCGTGTATACTATCCATAATAGAAGATTGTTTGCATATTAGAAAATCAAAATCTCACGAAATCTTTTTGAAAATTCTTTAGGTATAGGGTATCTTTTATGTTTTTTCGAGTTTTGTTGGCGGACACAGTAGAAGACCACTGGTCTTCTATTCTGGGAGCGAAGTTATACAAAGTAAATAAGATAAATAAAAAATAGAAGGTAAAAAGTAGTTCTAAAACTCATAGTATGTGTATTTTACTTAGAGTACCGAAGTACATCGTATGAATTGATTATGCTCGATATCGTCCGATAAGTTGTACTACGTTACAGACTACATATATTAACAACAATCCCAATAATTGGTTACTGTATATAAATAATAAAACAAAATCTTTTTCTAACTTTGATAAATAGCAAAAACGAATGAAAAAAATTTATCACAAGAACATAAATATCTGGATTGAGTTATGATTACGCTAATTTACACCACTACCTCACGTATTGTATTATCTGTTGTTTTTCTTTCTTCCAATGGTATTGTCTGCGCTACTTTGTTTGGGCGATGGTTTTTTTTAAAATAATAAATCAGCCCTCCTATAATGGCAGCTAAAACGGGTACTCCAACACCCACTGGAATACCAATGAGAATACCGTAATTCGCTAAAGAAAAAGGACAGTATTAAACAAATACATGTTTACAAATAATTAAAAACTCATTTACTTTTTTTAGTAGTGCTCGTAGCGTTTGCCGCAGCCGTAGTGAAGCTTGTGATGATTGATGTTGATGATGGTGATGATGATAGTAGTGCTGAAAATATCAAATGAATTTGACTAAAAATACAATTATCTATGAAATAACAGGTCTTACGTATAACTACTGTTGTTGTTGCTAGAATTATGGGTTGTTGTTCAACGTCTAATTATAAATAGAGATAATCTTTAAATACAAGTATTGGTGTAGATACGTGACAAAACAAATTCATACACAACTATCCATTTCAGACTACAATGGACTCGATTGTAACTTGAATAACTGTGGAACGGAAGCAGCTAAAGATCTGCGGTTTTCGTTATTGGGAAGAGGAAAGATAACTTTATCAAACTATGTAACATAAGACTTTCTAGAAATCTTCCGAAGTACAACAGTGTTTTTTACTATTCTCAAGTAAAAAATTGTCTGGAGCAACTTTAAAGCGCTCAAAAAATATAAAATAGTCAATAACTTAAGTATTCAGTTTTTCCTTCACTCATCACTACCTGTTTCACAATACAGTGCGTATGGCTGTTTTTCTAAATAACCCAGCTGAGCCAAGCTAGGTCTTGGCTGCATTGAGGTAGTTGTGGCGCCGGTTAAAACCACCACCTGTTCCACATCGGCCGTTGAAAGAGTAGATTCCCCAGCCAAGAACAAAAAGTATTTCCTCAACTCTCATAGGAGAATTCGAATGTCCAACCTCTTGACTACAAATCCATGAAACGTGAATAAAAAATATTCTGTTGCTTCCAAAGATCTCTGGAAAACCTTCCAAAAGCCAAAGCGTTTCATTTTGATTTTTAAAACATTTATTGAACTTTGGAGATAAAATGGAGTATATTCTAATATTCTGAAAGAATCTCGGTCAATTTTTGAGCGAGTTACGAATTTTTAATTTTCGGTGAAAATAGCCAACGATGGGCTTATTCACCTAATATAAGCCACGTTTTCGGCGGGTTTCGAGTTTTGTTCCGAAAAACAAACATTGGCACCAGATTCAAAGTAACCAGTAATCTATGTTTCCATATTTTTTTTAGGTTACCCAAGTCAAAAATCACAACATCTCGGATACTTCTAGCATATGGGAACGTTGTTAGATGAAAAAGATCTCGGTCTTTCGTGGATTTGTAGTCGAGAGGTTGAATTCTCGTATGAGAACTAAAAAATTACTCTTTCTTTTTAGCTAAGGAATCTACTCTTTCAAAGAGCGATGTGGTGCCTCATCTGCAGGTGGTAGTTTTAACGGGCGCCACTAGCTCAATGCAGTCAGGTCTTTCCAACAGTGAAAAACGCACATGTTTAGCGCGCTTCTGTAAAACGTTATTTAAAAGATAGCCATGCGCACTGTATTGTGAAACAGATAGTAGTGAGTGAGGGAAAAGTGAATAATTAAGTTGTTACTTTAAACTTTTCTACTCTCGGTCAGAATTTAGTTAGAACATTGAATCTACCTCGAAGACCAAAACACTTTCGTGTTTTCTATCTTTGCTAGGACTGGAACCGTTGTTCAGTCATTCATCTGCCAGACAGTCCGAGACTGAAATTGAACCCTTCCCGAAGCTGTTGCTACCATCACGCACAATAAAGACGTTTAAAACAAGATTGAAGAACTATCTTGAACTTTAACCGTGAATGAAATAAGGTGACAAAGTTTATAGGTTCTCAAAACGTTTCTTTCCATAGCAGTAGCGTGTTTTTGTTTATGTAAAGATGTATATTTATGTTCCTTTTTTTCGAGTATTTATCATCTACTTAAATATAAATCAACCAATCAATCAATTCTAACTGTATTAATAGTCTATTAATATCATAAAAATATTCAAGCTCTCAATACTCTTCTACTTCTTGAGTAACATTTTTCAATTTTCATATCTGTTCTTTATGAATGAATAATTCTTAGATGCTAGCAAATAATATGTTTTTTTGCATAAGGTTTAGATTCGATTAAAGATAATTAGTAGATATTAAATATTCACATATGACATGAAAACATAATACTTACAAGAACAATTGTAATCATATAATCTAAGTTCATCGATAGCAAAATATATGACTTCGGTCTTATTTTCATTTGAAACAGTAAAATAGAAATAAATCTAAAAGAAGAAATTTTAAAACTCGTATCCGTAACACCATATACTATATTTACGGTATAATTAGTTGTTCTTAAATTAAATGTTTTGTTTCGAGAATGCCAACTGTTATTTTTCATTTCAGTAAATATTACTTCATCAATTGTTACATTATTCATTGTCTCATCATCAATAGCAACAACTAGAATATTTTGTCCATAGTCGTTCTCATTTGTAAAATAATAATAATATTGTAAACATTGATTATCGTTATCGTCTCGAGTTGTAGGGCGTTGAACTTTTGTATTGATAACTTTACTTGTTTCATTTGTTTCAATCGATACAACACCAAATGATCCTTAAAATAATTTTTTATTTATCAATTTACTACAATATATTAAATATTATTATCATACCCATTTCACATGTTCCAGTGTATCCAGATTGTGTTGTACATTGATTATCATAACAAAAATACATATCAACTGTATCATTACCAATTGTTAAATTGTATGGTAAATAACATGTTTCATTAACTGATGTATCAATTGCTTTATGGTTAAACAAAGAAATATAAGAAATAACTATTTTTGATGATAAAATAAAAAATAAGACTGCTTACTTATTGATGTTACATCCGATGTTGGTGCACGTATGGAATTGATATTACTGACATCAAATATTGAACCATTAGTAAATATAATATTTCCTGAGATTTCTGATTCTCTAAAACATTGATGATCATCATCGTCAAAATTACAGCTTCGGAAAGGGGTGATCGGTGGTTTGACTGTAGTAGTAGTTGTTGTTAATGTCGACGTTACTACGGAAGAAGTAGAATCGACGATCTAAAAGAAAAGAAAAGATAACAATTAAAGCAGAAATGGATCTATAGACTAATGTTAAAAAGAAAAATATTAAACAATTAATAGTAAAAATCGATCAAATATTTTTCCATCTTATTTAAATATTAGTTCGTTCAATATTTTTCCTTCATTTTAAAAGAACTAAATATTTTTTATCTTATGAGAAAAATTTTAATATTTTTTCTATCGTGTTTATCTCAAATTCTCGAAGCTAACGCGTTTTTGTGATACGTTAAAGTCAGTTTTTTAAGAAAAGGTTAAACTTTAGCCTTTTTAAAAGGATTTTGGATTAAAAGTAAATGTACGATTTCTGTGTAACTCGATTTGTACTATGAATTTACGCACAAAAGAAACACAACATTTTACTTCATTCTTGTGTACTCGGCTCTTCAGAAATGTTCTTAATTGAGAAACTTTCAGCACCTATTATTTTCCTTCAACAAATATCTTGTGTATTTTCACTGAAAAGTTTGAAAATCTCTCTTTTTCCCAATATTCTAGAAAAATTTTCAAACTCAGATATTGATTTTTCTTGTTTTTGTCACAAATGGTTTGATTTTCTTCGACGCAATGGCAAGTTTCATCAGAAAGTCTCTATTATGCGGGTGAGAACACTTGCTGCTTTACGATTTACCTCCAAAGTTGTTGATGAAAATTCGACTGACACTGTGGTGGTGATGAGGGCTGTTGTCGCAACGACGGGAACTGTTGTGGCATCGATGGGGGCTGTTGTCGCAACGATGGGAACTGTTGTGGCATCGATGGGGGCTGTTGTCGCAATGATGGGAACTGTTATGGCATCGGTCGGGCCTGTTGTCGCAACGATGGGAACTGTTATGGTGATGACAGGAGTCGACGTCGATGTATCCGGTAATGTAGCTGAGATCCTGCAGATGAACGAGAGAAAACATGCATCAATACTAATTAGTGTTAATAATTAACTTGCTCTCATCTTTAGATGACGAATACGGTCATTACAGATCGTATAAAAACCGTACTCAATAATCGATTGTTGTATTGGTTTCTGTCATCGATGCTGTAATAGTAGTCTCTATTATTAAAACTTTTGTAGCCGAGGTTAGAATTGACGGTTGGACTGATGTTGCAGATGTTTCTGAAGATGCTAAGATTTCGTTGAAACAAGTATCCAGTTTTTCAAAATCTTTAAAAATAACCAACAGCTTAACTTTTTCAACCGTCAAATCACCTTTTTCCTGGATTGTAGATATATTATAAAGTCTCAATTCAATAATTTCTGGTTGTTATTTTTGGTTTTCTTACACGTCATTCGATAGAGAATCTCACACTGATCAGGAATATCACCTTCTCAGTCTTCCCAATGCACGTTTTCACGGAAAGAAATTCGAAATAGTCTGAGAGTCTCAACATCGAGAAAAACATTCGTGGTTCGAAAAAGTTGAATATTTTTTCTCCTTTGTATTTTGAAGCTTTCAAACATTTTCTTCGGATTCAGTATTGAAAACTGAAATAGGAAATATGTTTCGAAATTTTTCCATATGTTATTCCTGAGAAAATACATTTTTTCTGAATCAGGAGAGAAAAAATCGGAATTCTACTCGTAATTTTCTATATTTTCCATCAGAACTGATTTCTTATGCAAGAAAAATACCATATTCCGAGTTAGCGTCGGAAATCGGGCCGACACAATTAGCCAATGATATACCCTTTTACCCTATCCGACCACCTTTGTTTTTTTCGAATTTTCAAGTCGAAAAATTACTGAGATTTTCACCTGACCTCCCACTCCGGCTCTATTTCCTGTTCTTTGTCTATAAATTCTCTTTCTGGCCTCTTTTTTGGGAAAAATCTTCTTTTTCTGTTTTCTCACGAAAACAGTACCTGTTGACGAACAAATTCGTTATGATTGATTCATCCGGTGGTTCATGTCATCACTTATTTTTACTCTTGAGTTCTACTAGTCGTTAAGCTCGGTTTCTTCAATCAAGTGAGACACGAAACTCTCTCAGCAACCTGGATTAAACAAAGTGCCAATCCAATCTATGTAGTATATTTACAAAATAATGCTAAAAATACATATGCAAGAACAATATGAAGTAAGGAGACCACTAACTAGTCCGATCACTTACTAACTCTGTATTGTGGAACTCCCTCTCTATCTTCGAAGAAGAGGGAGTAACAGTTTTGTATCACAAAACCGCTGTCGGTAGGATATCACTTTTTCACCAAAAAACGAAAATCAACGATAAATTTCAAAACATATATCATTCGAATCGGTTTTCGACGCTAACTCGGAATATGATATTTTTATTGCATAAGAAATGAGTTCTGCTGGAGAAAACCGAAAAATGAATGTAAATGAAAGTCATATCACATATGGAAAATTTTCAAAACACATTTCCTATTTCAGTTTTCAATACTGAATCCGAAGAAAACGTTTGAAAGCTTCAAAATACAAAGGAGAAAAAATATTCAACTTTTTCGAACCACGAATGTTTTTCTAGATGATGAGACTCTCAGACTATTTCGAATTTCTTTCCGTGAAAACGTGCATTAGAAAGACTGAGAAGGTGATATTCCTGATCAGTGTGAAATTCTCTATCGAATGATGTATAAGAAAACCAAAAATAAAAATATGCTAATCTTTTGAATTAGCCGCACCTAAGAATGATTTAGACTAAAACCATACAATCTTTGCAAAAGTACAAATTTTTTTCCCACATAGCACGCGCACATGGGAAATTTTAGCGTAACAGAAAAGTAAAGAAGAGG